CCTGCTGCGCTTCCTGTCCCCGCCAGGACTCGGCTCAGCCCACTTGGCTTGGTTAGCTCACTGGCAGCCATGTGGGTAAAAGGCCCAGGAAGCAGGGGTGGCTCCATCTCTGCTTGCATCCTGGCCAATGTGGGTGCCCGCCTTGGGGAGCTTCCAAGTGCGCCGTCTTGGCATCTGTCGACCTGCCTGGTGCTGCAGACTCTGTTCAAGGTGATGTTTAAGGAATCTCCAGTGGGGCTGCCCACCCACATGGCCTGGGAACCTCTTCCCCGGCTCCAAGACTATAGCTGGCTCATGCTTTGAGAAAAAAGCTTTGAAAATATATCTGCTTAGCCAAGAGCAGCGGGGAGAGCACGCTTCTGGTCTCTGACTAGATGAGAAATTGTGCTTTTTGTAGTGGTGGTTTGTCATTTGAATTACCTTTTGATCCAGGCAGCACCTGGGTTCTGAGCAAGAGCCTGACTGCAGGTTTGACTGGCTCCCACCCAAGTCCCTGAGTCTCGGGGTGCTGTGACCTCGGGAACTGCTGGCCCAGAACTTCAAACCCAAAACCTGGTGAAAGGTTGCAGTCCTGGCTTCCCCTGAGACACTTGTGTGTCTCAGACCCTGCATGGTCCCTTCCGGGCCCCTTGATGAAAGAGGTCAAGGAAACCTCAGGCCGAGTGTGCAGGGGTGTGGGGGGTGCCGTGAGGCCCTGCTGGGCCTGGTGAAGGGGGGCCTCCAGCTGGGCTGAGGGGCACTTTGGGGGTGGGTACCCTCCGCTGTGCTTTGGAGATTGGGCTGCTCACATGAGTCTGGGTGCTGAGCCTTCCTTTAGTGGTAAAGAGCGGAGTTGGGGGGCACCCCAGGGTTTGGGGGGGACTGTGGACTCCAGGCCTAAAAGGCCTACTGATTGAGGACTTGGCCCCCAGAAGCTGGGGGGCATTTTCTAAGACCTGCTTTTGTCCCAAGGCCCAGGGGCCAGGGCTCCTCCTCAAGAGCCCGGACAGTTCCTTCAGCTCCCCCAAGGGGAAGCTGGTTCAGATAGAGGCCCCGGCCTGCATGGCCTGGGTGCACTGGGCAGGCAGGGGGAGGGGCTGCTGGGCGATATCCTAGGGGCAGGGACAAATGCCCACTTTGGGGCCATTGCTGAGGGGCTTGGGCTGGGGCACAACTTGGTGGGGTTGGGGAACCCAGGGGTGAGAGAGGGAGAGGGGGTTTTGCTGAAATCACAGGCTTGTGCCTGGAGTCCTTCCTGAGGCTTCCGGGCAAGGGGCTGCATGAGGGGCTAGCTGGGTTCTGCTGGGTGATGAGTGTGGTGCCAGGCATTAGTTCTCTGGGCATTGTGTGTCGCACTTGTGGTCCTATCCTACCTCTTCAGTGCGTAATAAGGCCAGTCCTGTCCTTGTTGCCTCTTTTTTTTTTTTTTTTTTTGTTGGCCACTCTGCAGGGATCCCTTAGTTTCCCGACCAGGGGTCAAACCTGGGCCCCTTGCATTAGAAGCACAGAGTCTTAAGCACTGGACCACCAGGGAGGTCCTACTGCCTCATCTTAAATTGAGGATCATAGCATCCACGTTACAAATTTGCTGTGAGGATTATATGAGGTCATGATGTAAAATACCTAACAACAGGTCTTAGAACACAGTAACTACTCAAAAAAATACCTTTCCTTCCTTTGTTTGAGAGGTAGATTTTCCTGCTGTTTGTTTGCTGCTCCCCCCACCTCCCAGCGTTCTTCTGTTCTGTTAAATTTTCTTCTTTCTTACTTTTTTTTTTTTTTTTAATTTGGTTGGGCTGGATCTTAGTTGTGGCAGGCGGGCTCCTTAGTTGTAGTTTGTGGGCTCCTTAGTTGTGGCTCTCCAGCTCCTTAGTTGAAGCACATGGGCTCCTTAGTTGCAGCTCGCAGTCTCCTTTGCTGTGGCATGCGAACTCTCAGTTGCAGCATGCATGTGGGATCTAGTTCCCTGACCCAGGCTCCCTGCATTGGGAGCGCGGAGTCTTATCCACTGTGCTATCGGGGAAGTACCTCCCCGCCCCCTGTTGTCTTTTGTGCCTGAGAAAATTGAGGCCCAGAGAAGGATGTGACCAGCCTCAGAGCATACTGCTGGTGACCTGTGGGATCTGGCCAGCATCTGTCCTAGGAGGGCCTGGGAGGCCCTACAAGGTCCTGGGTCGTGGAGCCCCCTCCGGGGCTCTAGGGTCTTCCTGGCAGGTGGTGGGAAGGCAGCCCATCCTGGGCACTGCAGGAACTGCTCCTTGGAACTGCCCAAGCTCTCGGGGGCTTGGTCCTGGCACGTAACGTGGGGCACTCCGACTGCCCTGGCTTGTGCTGTGCGTCAGAGGCTTGGCGTATGGCCAACGCTGTGCTGAGCCCTCTGTGGCCCAGCTTCTGGATGGCCAAAATGGGGCAGGTACAGTCCAGCCCGACCACCGCAGAGGCCCTGGGCCAGGCCTGCGTGCAGAGTTGGGTCTTGCTCTGGAGGCCGAGGGGGAGCCTGGCTGGTGGGGAGGGCTCTGGAGCATGGTGACTGTCCTGCTGTGGACAGACTGCCTGGGCTGGGTAGGTGCTGGGGCCAAGGCTGGCCACCTGGGGTCCACCCAGAGAGCGTACCTTGGGTAGCCGGTAAGGGACTAGCCACGTGTGGACGTTGGCTTGTCCCTTGGCAGGCCAGCAGCACTTGGAGCGTCTTGCTGGTTAGCTGCACTCCGATTCAGAGCTGAGCTGTTAGGGCTGGAGGGGCAGTGCCCCCGCCTCCCCAGAGCCCAACAGAGGGCAGGTGCCCTAGTACCTGAGCCTGTGTTGGGTCTGGAGGCTCTGGCGGGGTGGGGTGGGGACTGGCCCTGGAGTCTGGGAACTCCTGCGGCCCCCAGGTTCTGAGGAAAGACCTGCCAGGGGGGTGTGCAGGTCACCCCCTCTGCTCCAGAGCAGTGGGCTTTCAGGGCAGTGCGGGGAGTGAGCAGTCACACAGTTGGCAGCCTCGGGTCCCTCAGGACGTCCCAGGACTCCATCCCGAGTCTCGCCTGCAGGCCCACGCCCTGGCTGGGCCACCGGAGACAGGAGAAGCCAGCTGAGTTGGGCCCAGCAGTGGCTGTTGCTGTCTGCTGAGGCCGCGGGCCCTGCCTTGGGGCATCTGGAACTAGAGCTGGCCACACGGTAGTGTGGGGTCCCCAGGCCTTCCTGGCTTCTTCACCGGGCTGCTAGGCAGCGGCTGGGACTTCGGCAAGCCCGGGGCTGCCTTGTCTGGCCTCACTTCCGGGGGCCCTGCAGCTTCTAACTCCCATGACTGAGTGGTCGGGTTGCCATGTGCTGCCTCCTCTCTGCCTTCTAGAAGCCACAGCGATCCTCCCCCTGGGGCTGTGGCACGGTGAAGCCAGGCCCTCTTGGGCTCAGGCCCTTGGCGGGGCTTTGAGAACGCGTGTGACCTGGGCTCTTGGTCTGGGCTTCCCACAGGGTGGCAGCGGCCTATGGTGCTGTGTCCCCCCACCCCCTCCTCCACTCATCGCGTCTCTGGCTTCTCCACTGACCCCGGGCAGTGGACGGGGCAGACTGCTTTTCCTCCCTGGCCGCTCTCGGGACCAGCCTCGCTCCACAACCCCCAGCCAGGCTGTGTGTCCAGAGCAGGCGCTGGCCGGCCCTTGCCAGCCCCCTCCTCGTCTTGCACGTCTTAACTTTTGACCTGACTTAGAAATTGAGATTTGAGTGCAGCTGATCTAGGGTGTTTGTGTGGACCTGGATCCTCTGACTGAGGCTTTGTCCCCGGCCCCACCATTGGTCCTCAGCACATAAGTCCCATCACTCACTGGACCCCAAGCACGACCCGCAGGCGCTAAGAGCTCACTCAGCCTCTTGCAACCCTCAGCTCAGGGTGCACGGACCCCTGGTGTTTACTGAGGACCCCATCGTGTGCAGGCGTGGCTTGGCAGTGGCCCCGTGAGTCCCTCTACCACACTGGATCCCAGTCGCAAAAGGGTCCTGGGCCCCAAGGAAGCCTGTGGAAGCAATGCCTGCCCACTTGTCCTCAGCCACTGGGCGTCTCCCAGTGGAGATAGGTGCCCTCGGCGGTGGGGCCCACACTCCCACCAGTGTTCCCCGGGCTCCAAGACTGCCGCGTGTGCCCTGGAGGACACAGCTTGTCCGCTCTTGCACCTCTGCTTCCCGTGTGGGCCTCTCCTCCCCCAGCCCCGGAGCCCCTGCAGGCCCAGGCCCATAGCCTGCCGTGTGTCTCGAGGGCACCAAGTGGGTGCTCAGGTGTGTGGAGCCAGTGAGGGAGCCCAGGTAGCTGAGCCGGCAGCTCACTGTCCACACTCCAGGACCCCCGGCAGGGAGGGGCAGGTCCCTGACGGTGTCGTCCGTTCCTTGGATCCACAGGCTCAGCCAGGGAGGGGCCTGGCTCCTAGGCCCAAAGCCAGCAACGCTCCTGCAGGCGCACACTGCCCACGTGCCCTGTCCTGGGCCAAGTGGGCCTCCCCGCCCACCACGGCTCTGTGCCACCGGCCCTTGGGAAGGTCCCCTCCAGGTAGCCAGCCCCACTGGGCGGGTGGCAGCTGCCTGCTCACCTGTGTGGGCCCAGGAGTCTAGAGTGGCAGGGCCAGGCTGAGGGTGCAGCTGCCTCGGCGTGGGCAGCCGGCCGAGAGCCCGCGTTCCGTGGGCGTCCCTGAATCAGGCCCTGTGGTGGACTTTGGGGACAGTCTCCAGCCCCTGGATGGGAAAAGCCCCCGTGTGGCCCACCCAGTGCCCGCTGGCGGGCCACCACAGTGAAGAGCCCGAACCTCTGCTGCCAATGAGGGCCACCTCGAGACCCGCCCTCTCCATGGGGACACTGCTGGCCGCGTGCACAGGGCTCCGGGAGGACAGCCTGGCCCTCCCTCGGGAGTGGGAGTGGCAGCCTGTGCTTGTCGGGCAGCAGCCTGCCCGCGGCCCCTGCACCGCAGCCCCTGGGAGGGGCCGGCAGTGGGGCGGGCGCGCGTCCGCGCGGTCCCGCAGGTCCGTGAGCTTCATCTCCCTTTCCTTCTCCGCAGTGTACTAATGGTCACTTGATGTGCGCTGGCTGTTTTATCCACCTACTAGCAGATGCCCGGCTGAAGGAGGAGCAAGCCACATGCCCCAACTGTCGTTGCGAGATCAGTAAGAGCCTCTGCTGCCGCAACCTGGCCGTGGAGAAGGCCGTGAGCGAGCTGCCCTCTGAGTGTGGCTTCTGCCTGTGCCAGTTCCCCCGCTCCCTCCTGGAGAGGCACCAGAAAGAGGAGTGCCAGGACAGGTAAGCACCTGGGCCGCCTGGCCTGCCTGCCGGGGGCTTGGCTCCACACACAGGCCGCCCGGTGGCGACCTCACAGGGCCGGGTTAGCGCAAAGCTGCTCAGGGCCCAGGCCGTGGAGGGGGCGGGCGGGAGGCTCCACAGACTGGGGGGCTTAAATCTGCAACTGGAGGCGTCCGAACGTCACCCTGGCCCTCCAGGGTTCCTTGTGGCTGTGTGGTGGCTTCTTTCTTAGAGACTGTCCGTGGTGTCCCTGGGCCAGGAAAGTGTGGCCAGCACAGGGCCTCTGGGAGCACAGCATGATGGTGGCACTAGCACCCCAATCCCCCCCTCCAGGGGGCCAGGCTGCCGAGCCTCCCCTGGAGTGAAGCCACGCGGGGCCCAGGACCGTTGTGGAGAGAGGCCCCATGGCAGCGGGTGCAGGGGGCGTGCACACGCACAGCTCACACATGCCCTGCTCCTTCTCAGGCTCTCACGCACTCTGACCCCTTCCTGAGGGCCGGCACGTGGGGAACATGTCCTTCGGGGAGTGGTCTGTGTGAGCAGGGCTGGTCGGAGGCCCACTGGCACAGCCACCTTCCATGGGGCGCGGGTGTGACCGCAGGGCTCGCCTCCTCCCCAGGGTGACGCAGTGCAAGTACAAGCGTATCGGCTGCCCATGGCACGGCCCTTTCCACGAGCTGACGGTGCACGAGGCCGCGTGCGCCCACCCAACCAAGACGGGCAACGAGCTGATGGAGATCCTGGACGAGATGGACCAGAGCCACCGCAAGGAGATGCAGCTCTACAACAGCATCTTCAGCCTGCTCAGCTTCGAGAAGATCGGCTACACAGGTGAGGCGCCCTGCTGCCTGCTGCATGCCTCGCGGGCCGGGGGCGGGGCCGCGGGGTGTGGGCAGTGGCACAGGCCGCACCAGACGGCCAGGCTCTGGACAAGCTCCTGGTGAATGGGAGGACATCTAACGGAGAAGAGGGGCCGGAGGCTGAGCCGGGGAGGGGCCGGGCAGGACCCTGGGGGCACCTGCATGGCTCTCACAGAGGCCCCTCCCACCTGTCCTCCCCACCTCGGCCCTGCTACCCCAGCAAAGTGGTGTCCTCACCGTGTGGGGCTGCGCAACCTTGGGACAGTCGGGGTCTAACCGGAAGGTGGGCGTGTCTCAGGGGGGTGGTCTGGGAGCTGAGGGCCTGCCCTGCGGAGCCAGGGGCAAGAAGAGCACTCGTCATGTCAGGTCCTACCGGCAGGCGGTTACTGCAGTGGCCACGGGCTTCCTGAGGCCAGCGAGAAGACGGTCAGGGCCGGGGCTCCAGAACGAGCTGAGGGTGCCTGACTCAAACTGCAGAGCTGGGAGTGGATGCCCGGGGATGGGCAGGCTGGACTGCGCTCAGGCCCACTGGATCTCTTGGGCTCTCCTGGCCACCGCCACTGCCTTTGGACACTCTGGGGAGCAGAAGTCAGGCCAGAGCCTGGTCTAGACACAGAGAATAGCAAGAAGCCCCTGCTGTCGCTGGAGCTGCTGGGGGTACTCTGGCCCTATACTGCCCGGCCCACGCCAGGCGGCTGGCTCAGAGCGTCAAGGGCAGTCACAGGCAGCCAGTCAGACCGTGCTGCCTGGACTGGACCTGGCTAGGTGGAGGCCTGTGGAGGCCCAGAAGGCCGAGGGCCGCGGTCTCAGCAGAAGAGGACCACGGCCGCTGGTTAGTCGTAGCCTCAGCTGCCCCAGTGGGCACTGTGTCACAAACAGTCCAGGCCAGGCCTGGAGAGTCTGGGTGGACCGAGGCGTCGTGACTGCAGCCGTGGCCGGGCAGGGCGGACTGGCCACCTCTGTGGAGGGACTCGCCAGCCATGGGCCACGGGCTCTGCTGAGAGAACTGTGTGATGGCAGTCGCCCACTGACCGACGGGCCCTTCGGCCGGCCGGCAGAGCCCAGCACCAGCCACGCAATGGCACTCTGCCTCGAGGCCCAACACACCAGCCCGGCCGCCGGCTTTTCTGGCAGCTCTGTATCGGAACCAATAAAGTACACTTGTTCACAGAACTGCATCCTGTCTGTGTGTCTGCTTACCCCGGCCCCCTGGGCGGGGCCTCTCCCTCTGCTGGGCCCTGGGGAAGGGTGAGGAGGGAGGCCTCACCTGACCTGGGGGTCAGGAGGGGCTGGCCGTTCACCTCTCGCAGCCTCTGGACTCTGCCGCTAATGCGTGTCACTTCTGTTCGTAGTTGTTTCCCCAAAGCTTGCGTGCGCCTCCGTTTGCCATAATTGCGTTTGATTTGCCTTGTGACAAGTAGAGCCCGCTGTGTCCTGGTAAGTTGCCTTCCTCCCTGGCCGAGCCCGTGTCCCCGGCCGGCTGGGGAGGCGCTGCCCCTGGCCCTGCCTGCTCTGACCGCCGGCTCCCCGGCCTGTCTGTCTCCACAGAGGTCCAGTTCCGGCCGTACCGCACGGACGACTTCATCACGCGCCTGTACTACGAGACGCCGCGGTTCACGGTGCTGAACCAGACGTGGGTGCTGAAGGCGCGCGTGAACGACTCGGAGCGTAACCCCAACCTGTCGTGCAAGCGCACGCTGTCCTTCCAGCTGCTCCTCAAGAGCAAGGCAACGGCGCCCCTGGAGTGCTCTTTCCTGCTGCTCAAGGGCCCATACGACGACGTGAAGATCAGCCCTGTCATCTACCACTTCGTCTTCACCAACGAGAGCAACGAGACGGACTACGTGCCGCTGCCCATCGTCGACTCCGTGGAGTGCAACAAGCTGCTGGCTGCCAAGAACATCAACCTGCGGCTCTTCCTGTTCCAAATACAGAAGTAGGCAGCCCCGTGGCACTGCCCACACCTGCCCGGCAGCAGCTTCACGGCGCCATCGCCCATCTCAGCCAAGAAGGAGAAGGAACAGAAGCGAACACTGGGACGTCTGCATGCGTGTGCGAAGGTGGGAGCGCCCCCCTCGCCCTCTGCCCCACCTCCCCTGTCCCGGGCGCTGGAGGCCGGGCCACCGCAGAGGAGACGCTGCTCGGGGGACCCAAGCGGCGCGGCGCAGCACGGCAGCCTGGCCCCGGCCCCTACCGCGCAGCGGGCCACATGCCTGCTCTGGGCTGCCCACGGGGCTGCGCACGGCCCCTGGGCCGGGCTCGGGGGCGCTGACCTCAGACGGCATATTTGATTGCAATTAAAAAGGCACCCTTGTTTCCTACTTTCTGTTTTGTTCGAGGGGAAGGCGTGGCTGTAATTGGACAGAATGGGGTCTTCGGTTTGGCCAAGGGTCACAGCCCGCCCATCCCTGTGACTGCACCTTCACGTGCCCCGCCCCAGGAGAGACTTGGAGTTGCTGCCCCCTCTGTCACAGGCCTGGGCAGGGGAACGGGCGGGGTCGGGGCTCTCACTAGCCCAGCACATCCCACCCCCAGCTGCTCCAGGGAGGCAGGACTTGGCCACGGGGGCTCAGCAGACTTTTCGGAATGCAGGGTGATTTTCTGTCTCTTCCCAGGGAAAAAATTAAACCCTTTACAGGCTCTTGTACAAGTTATGCAAATTTAGCAAGAGAGAATCTCTTCTGTATTCAGCCTTAAGGACTCAGTGTCCCCAGGCTGTGAGGAGAGTTCTGGGGTCTGCTGGCGATGAGCAGTCCTGGCTGTGTGAGGGTCTGAGTGGTCCAGCTGCCCCCATGCTGCTCTCAGGGACCAGCTGCTGGCCCTGCATCCAGGGCTCTGCACGGAAGTCAGCGCTGGGCAGTGTGGTTTCTCACCCGACGGAGGTGGGTCCCCCGAGGTCCTGCAGTCCTGCCCCAGAGCTGCGGTGAGCAGGCCCAAGTGCAGGCCTCACAGGGGGAGGGAGCCCTGCCTGGGGATCCTGGGACCTACTGGGAAAGGGGGAGCTCGGGCCCCTGCTTAGGAGACAAGGCTCTCCTGCAGTAGTTTTTCGTTGCTTCAATACCAAAGAACTGTTTGCCTCACCCTCAGCCAGGCCCACCTCGTGCTCGAAGCAGCCCCTACCGGCCTGGCCCCCTATTGCCCAGGCCCTGCAGGCTCAGTGGGCAGGGCCGCCCTGGCCTGTCTCTGGGGGCTCCTTTCTCTCCTGGCCCTCGAGGTGGGGAGCTGAGAAGGGGAGTGAAGGAGCTATGGGCTACAGCTCAAGCCTCAGCCAGTTCCTAGTGGACGAAGCAGCCCTCCCAGGCTGGCAGGTCCCCTGTTCCCCACCCAGGGCATGGGGCTGGCAGGGCTCGCATCCTACAAGGCCGACTCAGCCTGGCTTGCCCTCCACAAAGAAAGACCCCACCCCAGCCCCAGCCCATCCTTGTGGGCATCTGACCCAGGCACACCCTGGTGTTGTCCCACTGCCCTCAGGGGCTGCCCCTGCCTGCCTGTGGGCGCAGAGGATGACATTCACGTCAACACAGGCCAGGTCTCCTGTGCATGGATGGCGCCCTGTCACCCTGTTGGGTCTCTTGGGGACGGACACCCTCTCTGTCGATTCCAAAGTGACCATATTGTGAGGGGGGCCAGGACAGGGGTGGGTTTGCCTGGTCCGTGTGTGTCTGGGTGCCTGTGTGAGATTGAGGAAGCAGAGGGGCGGGCCCCCGGCAGCTCTCCTGGGTGGGGCAGGTGAAGGTGTGTGGCTGCCACAGAGGGCCAGGCAGGAGAAGGGCAAAGCCAGGGCTGGGCTAGCAGACCTGTTGTGGGGGGGGGGGGG